TCATTCAATTTCCCCACACTTTTGTTTTTGGTTTGTCTTTTTGTTTTTTTTGTTTTTTTAATATCCCACATTGGGATAACAGAAAATGTTTCAAGAAAGGTGAAATGTTAAGAGAACCTGGATGCAAATTTACCGTCGGTGAATTGGCAATCAGTGCACTTTCTAAATCGCTTTGTCTTTTAATTAAAGTAGCTGCTTTAAAAATCGAAATTATGGTTAGACTCAGTACGGTGGGCGACTAAGAGAAAGCTATTTAATAGGTAAGGCCGGATTTATACTTCAGGTTGCAAACATTCACTCGGAAAGTGGCCATTTTACGAGAAGATTGAGGAATCGGAGAGCCGAGTTCAAATTCCAGTCGAATCCATTACATTCACTTACGTGCTAATACCCCTGGGAAAGGTATGAATCCTCATCTTCTTCCCCAGTTAAGAGTAAATAGTAGGATAGATCAGGTTCTATAGCCTGGGATGGCAACTGGTCTACCGAAGAAAGAAATGGCAACCGACTACGGAAAAAATCTGCTTCGTCAGTCATGTATCGAAAGATACATGATCCCCTAAGCGTGTATTCCGCATGGCACATAACTGACACACATACATATATATATATATATATATATATATATATATATATATATATATATATATATATATATTGAATGTACAGCTATGGGTAAATAGCAGGACAGACTGGGTTCTATAGCCTTGGATGGCAACTGGTCTAACGCAGAAAGAAATGGCGTATATCACGTATGGCACTGATTGTCATTACACCCATGCGTTTTTGAGGTGTTAATCAGTTAATTTTAGCTGAAACTGTTCATTCTTAGCAAATCCTAAAGTTTGAGTCTTATTTCATTTTGTTTTTATGCTTAAAATATATCATATATGCATTTCAGTTATTTTCCGTTAAGTTGAAAGAGAGGATTAAATTAAGTTTATAACTATCATTCGTCCGTGTATGGAATAGTGCTGTCATATCTCGTTTGATGCTCCTGCTACTCATCTCGAGGTTTTGGACAAAATCCAAAGAATCCAATGTAATCAAACCTTACTTGTCATCTCGACTTCAGTCTGTGACATGGCTTCCCTCTGTACTTTCTACAAATATTTTCATGGCAACTGATAAGCTTTTTTTTTTTTTTCGCCTCTGGTGCCCGGACTACGTGAGCTGAAGTGTTAGACTACCATCTAGGTCATACCCTTTTACTGTTGAATTAGTTAAACATAACTGACACTTCTACTCCAACAGTTTCTTTTCTCTCACTTCTCGCCTGTGAAACTCTCTTCCGTTTCCTTGCTTCCCTGATAACTACAATCTTCAAAAATTTAAATGCATCGTCAATCTTCTTGAACACCGTTTAGCTTTTGTCCTTTGCTCGGTTCTCCTTGCCCACTCTTTTATGCCACCTTCACTCACTGTAACCCCCACACACACACACACACCTACGTACATGCTTGGGGTGAAATGATTTTAAAAAATAAATAAGAATTAAATAACAAAAGTAGAAAATCTTTGCTTCGTTTCATATTTAAAATATGCTTAATTTTTAGACTAATCTTCAAACTACTTTCAAAATAAAAAAAAGGTTATTAGCGCTGAGGAGGCAACGTTGAGAATTGTAAGAATTAGTGTTGAAAAAGCAAAATGAGAACACACAGTTTGATGTCCAATTTGTGACAAATAACTTCTAAATGCTACTAAATAATCTATTTTATGTGAGTTTGAATACTAAATTTCTTAGAGTTTGGCAATTGTCTCAAAACGTAACATTCGGCCTGTATTGAAAAAGCCAAGTAAATTCTATGTGTATTTAATTGATGGTGAAAGCCGTCTATAAAATCTATCAACCTGCTTTAGATTCAGAATCACAAGTGAAGAAAAGATAAATAATGAGTTCAGGTAAAAAAAAATATATTGTAAATGAGTCCCTGATTTTTGTGTGAAAGCCACACGCCATATTGATATTAGAGAGTAAATTGCACGACCGAATGTCGTCCATCTTCATTGATGACGTCAGCGATTTCCTGTAGCAGCGGAAGTAATGGACCGATACTAAACTTCGTACATCATGTTATCTGGTGGCCAAAAAAAAAAAGGGGAAAAAAAGAGAGACCGTGTTGGTATAAAAAATAAAAAAACGAAAATAAAATAATGAAAAACGTTCAATTCCGGAGGAAGGCCCAGAATAATAATTAAAGAATATTAGCATTTGTCAGGATAGCCATTCTTTCATTCTGTTATTCTCATGTACATAAAATCTCATTTCATCATTCTTACGTGTAGTTTTATCCTAATTATCTATTGTTATATAGAATCTTATTTGTAAGCACACATTTCAGAAACTGCTTCTCTACATATCTATTTCTCTCTCTCACATGCACTCTCACACACACACTATTTATTCTCCCTTTCTCTTCATCTTCTGTACTCTCTTTTATTTTTCCTTTTTTCTTTCTTTTTCACATCTAGTCTCTCAATTGACCTATATGTCCCCGATATCAATTTAAACTAATGCCTTTTTCTCCCCTATATTTAAACTATAATTATAAACTATAATTTTGGAAAGTGAAAATATCACGGAAATACATTGTAAAATTCTCGCGTTTTCATCTGAAATCAAAAAAAAGAACTGGTCAAAATATATGAAAAAAAAAAGATGGCGTCAGTTCAAATCAATCATGAGCAAACTGCGGCCCGCTAGCCACATTTTGGCTTTCTGAATAGCACATCTAATTTCTTGAGGAAAATAACATTTCTTAAAATTTGGTTATATTTTCTCTGTAAGAACATTTCCCAGATATATAAATTTTCTTACTTACTTGATTTTGGTATATCCAATTCGTAACCCGCGTCTTGGAATGTTCTGGTTCCTTTCATTTATACTCAGCTGGTAACTTCAAAACCAACTCGTATAATTTTATACATAAAGTGAATGGATTTTTTTTCTTGACGTCAGAATTGTTTTTTGTTATTGTTTTTTGGTGTGTTTTTTTGAGGACTTGCAGTGATATCTCATTGAAAATTAAGCAACGTCGAGCCTGGTGAGTAGCTTGATGGGTAACTGCTTGGGAATATCAAACACGCCTCGAAATGGGAAATCGGAGAGTTGGTGATTTGCGCGAAATCAAATATAAAGTTCTCGGCTGGAATTCGAACTCGGCTCCCCGATTTCTCGTCTCGGGCCTTTACACTACGGACCCAACCACAGGCTGAGCTTGTGCCCACAAAATAAGTGAAATTCTATTAAATTGTTAGCCTTATAGTTTCACAGTTAAACACTTTCGGAAAGACAAAATCACCACACATACAAATGCCTCCATGATTTCAGAAGCTAATAATTATTTTTAAAATAAGAAAGGCATTAAACATTGTAAAAAAAACTCTACAGAGTTTTTTTTTTTTTTGAGAAAGCATCGAATTTAAGATTGATTGAATTGTTTACGACTTATCAACGTTTTGCAGGATATTTAAAACCAGAATTTTTTTTTTTTTCAGAATTGGAACTCGATCCCCGATTTCCAGTTCCGAGCCGTTATCCTTTACACCACCCGCACATCCAAACTTACATCACTTAATATTCCCAAGCGGTCACCCATCTAGATACTAACCAGGCTCGATGTTGCTTAATTTTCAATCAGGAAATTGAGGAGACCCATGACTGCCAACTTATGAATGGCCACAGCACACAAAAGAATATACATCAAATATTAGCTACATTGTTTTTCTTTTTTTTTCCCGCCTGCTATATTTAAGGGAATAATTATGGAAAAATTCTTGTCTCAAATGATATTATTATGTTTGAGATAAATTCGTTTGTTTTTATAATTCATTTTAATACGGATTATCTCAATAAATGAATAACAAATTCTGTCTGTCCATCCTTGTGTCTAAAACACCTAAGAGCCACACTTGCTCTACATAGACATATTATACCTTTTTGGAATCAGGATTATCCAGGGATTGAAAATCTACTTTTTATCTGCTGCTTAAACTTCTAGCATTGGGATTTGTGTCGGATGAGACGGAAACAGTTAAATATTCATTTTTTTTTTAAATAACTGAAAAAAATTAGTGATTTTAAAAGTTTTTAATTTATATTGAGTTTAAAGTAACACAAAAACTTAAATTTTTTAAATTTCCTCCAAAACTTTGTAAACTGAGGAAATCAATTTTATTTCTTCAAAATGCCAAGAAATCAGAGTCAAAGTGAGAAGTTTTGTAATGAGAGGTTTTGAAGTTCCACAGAGTTTCTGATTTGAAGAATTCAATTTTAAGCCTGAATTTCGTCACAAATCGAAGTCTCGACCCAAATCGGTATTACAGCCCGAACGTGAGAGATTTTGAAGTTCCATTGAGTGAATTGAGGAATTCAAAGTTATTTCTTCAAAATTATCATTGCTGTTTTCTAAGCTGGACCAGAAGTCCCTTTAGTTGTGGGTGGGAGATTCAATTAGCCCTGTGCAAGTCCGCACAAATTGCGGCATTTAAACTAGTTTATTAATAATTATGATGAACCATTCAATAATATATTCTCTTTCATTGTTTACAACTTCCTGTCAACGATCCACAAAGTGTTCAATGCCCCAAAGATAGAAATTACTAGGTTCTGACTCGAAAAATTCATCAGACCACGTTTTAAGCTCCACATCGTTGTTGAACGAAACACCCTTCAAACTGTTAAAAAGTGACCAAAAAAAGGTGGCGTGTGGCAGAACCTCTTAGCCGATGAAATTATATCCACAAGTTGACTGGTAACGAGCGAGTAAACTAGCGGCAATGGAGGAACGCCGCTCTTTGTTTCTCGCGGTCAATGCGTGTGGCACCCCTGCGCCGTGCTTCTGTACCTTATCTATTGGGTAAAGGTGACGATAGACAGTAACATCAGAGTTTGCCATCTTCTGAGACAAATTCCTTGCGGTCTGGCGCGGCTCTTCTTTCAAACAGCGCGTGCAATTGGTTCTCATTAAACTAAACAGATGTGTATTTTTATACAGTCCCTTTCTTTTTATCTCTCACTTTTCTTCTCTCTTTCGCTTTTCTTTTCACCTTCTTCTTTTTCTCTCTCTCTCTATTCATGCCACACTATCCATCCTCTTACCTCTCTTCTTCACACTCACAACCACTTTCTCCTTATTTATTCCTAATCCTCCCATTCTTTCTCTCCCTCTCTCGTAAACATACATAAGCTATTTGATTACTGTGATAATTCAAAGTTTAACTGGGTGCTCCACTATTTCGGCCTTGTGCTAGATTTGGTAAATCTAAATAAACACAAGCTTTCTAGTTTCACGGTGTTTTTATTATTCGATAACTAAATAAAAGTACATTTTTCTAGTGAAAGTACATTACAAAAGACGCTCTGCTATGGTGCTGTGGTTTGCGAGGCTAATCTGGTTGGTGTGTAATGAGTTCGATCCTCACTGGAGGTTTCATAAAAAATTCGTCATTAAATAATCCAACGAAATGACATCTCGTTAAATCAATCTAATCTAACGTTAAAATAGTTGTTTCCACCTGGACACGCTAAGAATCCCACCTCAGGATTACATTTCGATAATTCTTGAAATCGGAATACTCTTTAAACTTAAAAACTCCTCATAAAAATAAAGAAGCAGGAGAGTTTAAATCTATTCAGTTAAGTGTCATACTTAATACACGCTTCGGTGATCATGTCGTTTTCGATTCATGGCTGACTATGAAGAAGATATTCCCGCAGTAGACTGCTGCTTCTTTCTGCGGTAGACTGGTTGCCAACCAAGGCTGTAAGACCTAGTCTTTTCTGCTATTCAAATTCAATCCATAGTTGGGGGAAAAGAGATGAATTCATACTTTTCCGAAGGTTATTGGTGCGTACGTGAATGTAAAAACCAGACTGGAATTCGAACTCTGCACTTAGATTTCTCATTCCGGTCCTGCCGATTACTGTTGTGTTATCCATTACACAACACCATACATCTTAAATCTATTCACTCAGTTATGTGCCATGCGTGATACACGCTTAGGCGATCATGCATCTTTCGATACATGACTGACGAGGCAGATTTTTCCCGCGGTAGGTTGCCATTTCTTTCTACAGTAGACCAGTTGCCATCCAAGACTATAGAACCCGGGCTGTCTTGCTATTTACCCATAGCAGGGGGGAGAGGTATAGGATTCATACCTTTGCGAAGGGTATTAGCACGTAAGTGAATGTAATGGATTCGACTGAAATTCGAACTCGGCCCTCTGATTCCTGAAATCCGAGCCGCTATCCATTACTCTTAAATCTATTATGTATGAATAAAATGTTCCTGTTATTTCTTTTTTAACTAACTTGGTTGTTGTTTTCTCTCATCTTATCTTTTTCTCTGGTCTTCTCTTTCTTTCTTTCTATTTTTTTTACTTCACTCCACCTTCTCTCTTTATCTATCTCTTCTCTTTCCTCTTATCTTATTTTATATCTTTTCTCTCCTCGTGCTTTCCTTTCTCTTCTCTTTCTATTCTTCACATCTCCTATTCTTTCTATCTCTTTATCTCTTTTTGGTCTATTTTTCTTCTCTTCGTCTTTGTTCATTACAGACAATCTCGACCTCATTCCCTGTCTCTTATTTCGGCTCTCATTCTCTCTCTCTCTCTTTCTCTCTCTCTCTCTTTCTCTCTCTCTCTATCTATCTATCTACCTTCCTTCCTTGATTCCTTCCTGCTTTCATTCATTCACTCATTCATTCAAACCTTCTTTCCTTCCATCCTTTCTATCAATCTATCTATCTATTTTCTTCTTTCATGATTCCTTTCACGATTTCTTCCTGTCTTCATTTATTCCATCCTTTCTATTTTATCTGTCTACCTACATATCTATCTGTTCATAAACTATCTATCTATCTATCTATCTATCTATCTATCTATCTATCTATCTATCTTCCTTCCTTGATTCCTTCCTTCATTCATTCATTCACTCATTCATTCAATCCTTCTTTCTTTCAATCCTATCTATCTATCTATCTATCTATCTATCTATCTATCTATCTATCTAGTTTTCTTTCTTTATATCTATCAAACTTGAGTAAAAAATAATAGGTTAATCTTCAATATATGCAAATCAATGTTTATGTTTGTCTCTTTCTTCCCCTTCTCTCTCTCTCTCTCTCTCTATATATATATATATATATATATATATATATATATATATATGTATATGTATATATATATCTCCCCTCCCTTCCTTCAACACCCCCTCACTCTTTCGGTCACGAACACTTTTTATTTTTCGTTTTTTAGAGATTAATTTTTCACTAACACCCCTAACTACTCTCTGTCGCTGACATCGTTCATTTTTTTTCAACGCTTGCTCTATTCGCCGCCACCCTTATGAATAACTATGTTCACGCTCACGTTGCCTCCCTCACACTCTTCCTTACCCTCATCTACATCACACCCTAATCTTAACATCACCACATCATCATCCACTTCATCAGTCACTCTCCTTCAAACACTTTCCACCCTCATTCCGAACCCGGACCGAGGGATAGAATAACCGGAGTCGACTTCCGAGAAAGAAGCTAGTGATCTACGGATAACAACGGCCGGGCCCCGTTTCGGCTATTTCCGGTGCTAATGCTAGCCATCGGAGCCAATGGATCTCTCTCGCGGAAGCGATTCCTGATGGCGACGAAGGGCACGGAAGACATATTGGCCGGAAGTGCACCCAGCAGATTCTATGGACACCGGAAGTCGTTCTTGTGTGTTCCACAGTGGATGGTTGCTATAATTTATATGCAATGCTCCAGTGATGAGGATGTTAACCAAGGCTGCCGTCATCACACCCCCACCTTCGTTGTTGTCGGAGAATACGGGAAGTTGAATTATAAAGAGAGGAAGGAATTGAGAAAAAAAAGAGAAGTAAAGAAAGATAAGATTAGTTGGAAGGAAATAGAGAGAGAGAGAGTTGTCGGGACCGAGATCGAGAGAGAAAAAATATTTTGACGGTTTGTAAGAGAATGATGAGAAAAAAAGGTAGAGAATGAAAAACAGAAAATGGATGAATTATAATAAATGAAGTCTAAGAAGCTTGAAAATGGGAAAGAGAGATTAATATAAAAAAGAGAGAGAAGAGAATAAAAACTAGAGAAATTAAGGTTAATGTTAGAGAGAAAAAAGATCAGGGGGAAAAGAGAGAAATTAAACGAAGAAAGAATCAGAGAGGGAAAAGATGGCGGATTGAAGAGATATATGAGATAGATAAGTAACTGACGACTGAAATATCATCTAAAAGAGAAAAAGAATGGATAACATAGTTACGAATTTTCAAAAATTTACCCAGTGATAAATGACGAGACTGCCAAATTTTTATTTTTTATTTATTTATTTTATTTTATTTTATTTTATTTTATTTTTTGCAAAGTGAATCATTAAGGGAATATAGTAGTCTGTAATGTCGACATCGATATCTTGGGTTATATGTCTGTTATACATCATAAGACTGATTGTTTTGATGATCGGGGTATATCTGGACACCTAATCCTGAATTTGAGCTTCAAAAAGAAAACGAAAAAATATTCATAATTTTACTTACAAGGTGACGCAAATGAATTATGTTACTCGGCTCCTATTTTTTCTTTTTCTTTTTGTCGTTCGCTTTTCTTCCTCTTTTAACACCTCTTTTATTTTTACGCTTTCAGGAATCATTGTTTCCTCTTTATCTTCTTCATTACCTGTTCCCTATTTCTATCTAAACTCTCCAGATAGATAGATAGATAGATAGATAATCTTGGACATTTCTGCCAGAGCGACTTAGAATTCATATATAAATATAACCAGACTATATAAATGTTAAATGTAGGAGACAGTACGGGAAAATTTACCTAGTGCACATTCTGTTATTGTAATGTTCAATATAAATAAATAATTCATCTGTCGACCGGTTTACACTCCTCCCCGGTCTTTTGAACAAGAGTAGAGATTTAACCCTTGTTTCCTCTTTAGGATTGAGATTCCAATTTCTACTAAAGTTTTCTCATTGTCTTTTATTTCCATAAGTACCTTAGTGGCATTAGCGCCTTGCTTAGGCTGAATTAATTAAAATGTACATTGATACCCAGTGGATTGAATAAATCTGCTAATAAGCTTAGTGGTAAATACTCATGTTCAGTTATTATTTGAATAGATAGATAGATAGATAGATAGATAGATAGATAGATAGATAGATAGGGAAACTCATGGATCAGTAATATATGCATCTGTAAGTATGAAATTCGTTCTCTTTGCGTTTTTGCCTTTCTCTCTCTCTCTCTCTCTCTCTCTCTCTCTCTCTATCTATCTATCTATCTATCTATCTATCTATTTATCTATATTTCAGACATACACATCTATTGCACACACAACTGAATATTTAAAGTGCTTGTGGGCATCGGAAACATACTGTATAAATATCTTGGAAGTGACCAAAATCTTGTCTTTCTTTCTCTTCACTCAGCGTATTTTAATGCTTTTAATTTTTTTATATATTTCCGAATGTTTCTCTGTTTTATTATAAAAACTCTTTTCATCCACAAAAATCCCACTGTGGACAGGCATAGAGACATTTTTTATATTCTGAATTAAAATCAATACCTTTCATTTTATATAAGAAATAACGAAATCCTCTTTTCTTATGAATCATTTAACTCATAAATAAATTAACTGACAGACTATTCTCCCTTTTCATTAATGCGGACATATTTACTCTGTAAGCATTTCCGCTATATCTTTTTATCACAAAATTAACGGTCGATAGAAAGTAACAATAATATGTGGTAAAAGAAGTAATAAAATAAATGATACTCGTGAAAAAAGAAAAAAAGCTTCATTTAATGCATTTTAAAAGCAATAATATGATTAGACAATAAAACAAATATGGCGCAGAGAAACGGATAAAAGTGAACGGTACATTGACTATGTTACAATTCCGCTTAACCACTGAAGTTTTTTCTGACCAAACGGCTTAAGGCAACGTTTATAAAAGACTAGTTTTCAAGCTGTGAGTCAAATATCTATAATACTATCAAAAAATGCTACGATATAATAAAGTATTTTTTTTTTTAATCAACATTTTATCCTGTGTGACTCTGAAGTTTATGTTTCGTTCTATATCTCAAATTTTTCAATGATCCATGCTCTTCCAAATATTTCCCAATTGTGGTCGAGTACACGTCGAGATTTTGTTTTGAAGCATTTTAAGCGACAACAGATTGTTTTCTACTTTCTAATGAGAAATCACCACCATTAATTAAAACGCTTAAGACAGTTGAATAAGGAACTGATACGTAGTGTCAGTCCTCTTATATGGCAGTGAATGCTGGCATCTTCTCACAGATGAAGGAGCGACTTGAAACAACAAAAATGTGGTTCTACAGAAGGATGCTGAGAATACCATGGACTGAGCATGGAAAACAACGACGAGGTTTTAGAGAAATGGAAACAAAAAGGACACTTATATTTAACACCAGGAAGAAACTATTTAAAATTTATAGATCATATAATGAGAAAAGAGGGCTTGGAGAATTTGATACTCACAAGAGAGATTGAAGGCAAGAGGGAAAGAATAACAACGCATAACCTACGTGGCGAGTTTGAGTAAATGGATGGCGGAATAAGATTTAGGTGAGATAAAAACAAAATTTATTAAAAGCTAAAGAGGAAATTGTGGACTGCAATGATGGACACGGCACATAGAAAAAGAAACCAGGAAAGTAAAGTTAGAAATGGCTTCATTTTGTTCTACTTGCCGAAATTTACCAGCTAGTCCATGCCTTAGTATAAAATCCCGACAAAATTTCATACACTAGCGGAATTTTTTTTGGTTCCACGTTCTAATATGATCATAGTAGTTCAAGAAAGATTTGGTACGAATCATGATCAATTTTTCTGAAAAGTATGATTTTTATAAAGGCGAACAGTTGGACAGTTCGAAATACGATCATATTGGAAATATTTCAAAAAGATATTATATACCGCTAAAAAGGAAATGTATTGAGGAATAATATTCTGTGAAGACAAGATATTGGCAACAGTATTCAATAGACGGACGAATGTTAGATTTATAAATGTGCAAGAAAGATTCTGACGTGAAAAGTTCTTTGGCAAAACACAGTGAACAAATTTCCTTGCAGAAGACGTAGTAACTGATTCAATATTGTTATACAGGAATAAAGTGTCGCTTCCTACACTTGAGCTTGAACATAGATCGTCAGTGAGCAAACACAGCCGATCCCATTATTGAATTAAGTAGACCACGTGACCATAGAGGAACTGCATATATGTAGAAAGTAGCTGACGACTAACGATCTCTATTTCTAGTCTATCCTCTACACTATACGGATCGTTATTTATACTCTATCCTCTATTACTATACGGACCGCTATTCTCTACTCTATTCACTGTACTATTCTCTATACGGATCACTATAAGGATTACTATTCGAGCGAGTATTATCGAGAAAGTATTATTAGTGCGCGTGATATTCGAAGGCATTTGACACTAGTATTGTTCAACTGTGTACTATAGTGGTACCTGTGATTACAAAGTCTTTACTACAAACGTACAATACGAAAGTGGCAACGAGTGTTCGTTGACATTACAAAAAATATAATCACTTTATATCGATAGAAAAACGTCAGACCAAGAAGATGCAATGACTTGCATTAGGTTAGCATCAGCCATGGTTGATGGAAGGCAAAACTAGGCCTCTGGCTTGAGAGATTAGCCTAGTAGCCATTGCTCAACTACGAATTTTATTCATGCACTACAAAAAAAATGGCGTGCTGCTGTCACAAATCTGAAAACGTTCTCACACGGATCTATTTTTTTCTGTGTACATTTTAATTTTTCTTTCTTCCCCCTGGTTTGTTTCTCTTTATCTCTACCTCAAGGTATATATATATATATATATATATATATATATATATATATATATATATATATAAACAAACAACTCAGTCTCAAGTTTGTGAATTTTGCGTCTTGTTTTTATCTTTGCTGTTCATCATATGCCTTTCCCTACGGACTCCTCTTCACATTATATCACAGCCGATCCGTACACACCACCAGACGCACACGGGAAAGCTAAAATGAAAGGATTTGATAAATAAGAGGAAAGTGTTAAGGGAAAACCGGCTGTGAATCGGATGAAAAAAAAAACACGGCTCAAAGTAGAGTAGCAAAACTAGAAAACAACACTGAAAAAAAAAAAACAAAGACTTTTGGTCGATCGTGTAGTTGGAACGAGGACTGAAATATTGCTGATGAATAATCAAGTTACAGGATGGAAGGAAACCGGAGAATTTTTGTTTACTTAATTGTCCAATAGATGGGGGGGGGGAATGAATGAAAAACAGAATTTTTGACGATGAATATGAGAAGAGATTGAGAGGAAAGACAGGAATATATAAAGAGATGGTGACAAAATTATATTTGTTTAAATGCTTTCATTCTTGGGACAATGTCGAAGCCTCCTACTTCCGATAGTGGGATAGTTGTGAGTAACAATAAAAAAGAAAAAAGAAAAAGAGAGAAATAAAGGAGATAATGAATACTTTCTATAAATGATGAAAATAAAATGAAAGAAAATATGGAATAAAACGGACGAAAGGGGATAGGAAAAGATTATAAAAGGTTAAGACTGGTGGCGCTAATGTTACATTTTAATTTCTCTTCACTGAACCTAGTTTTTTTTTTTTATTATTATTTTTATTTTGTTCCCGCATCTCTTAATCGATGCTCAATTTGGATGACACTTCCTCCTTCTTTCCGTCCGTCTTTCATTTTCTTTCTTTATTTCTTTCTTCTTTTCTTTCTTTGGCTTTACGACCATATCACGTTGAAACACAGGTTCTCATACAATCACTGAAGCTAAAGCAACGTCGAGCCTGGTCAGTACCAAGATCGCTGACCGCTTGAGCATACCTAGTTTGAATGATGTAATGGATAATGGCTCGGAATTGTTAATCGGAGAGTCCCAATTCCATTTGGATTCTCTGCATTCACTTACGCATAAATACCATTGAGAAATGTGTGAATTTAAATTTCTCCCCCAGCTATGGATTAATTGTTAAATTTTGTATCACTAAATCATTATTATCTTTAAAAAAAATTCTTACAATCTAAAAGGGTTGGTAACCTCTAGAAAATGAATAAATAAATCAAGCAATCAATAACATTTCATTTGAAATAGTGTGGAATGTAAATCCATTTTAGTTGTTGTTGCTGTTGGAAGTTCTTAAGTAATGTGGTTCTGTTTTTTGGTACAGATCTTTGTTTGTGAATCTGCAGCGTCAGTTTAAAATATTCAAAGAAGGAAGATGTTTAGCAAAACATTCAGGCTTTACTCACTCAAAGCCTTTTTTAACGATCCAGTTATATATTCACACATAATCACACACACACACATACACATATATACACACACGCACACACACACACACACACACTCACACACACATATATATATATTGGCGAGCGCGTGTGTATGTGCGTCTGAGTACCTCAATGGGTGTACGGGCGTGCATGTATGTTTTCATAAATATGACAATTTTTCCTCCCATTTCCATAAAAACACCAATACACTGCAACCTACATAAATCCAAAATTTAAAAAAATTAATCAGTTTGTCTGACGATCGCAAAAGCGTGAAACGCAGGATCACAAACTCACATCAATAAAAACCAAATATGTTAGCTCTATCTCTGATATTGAGTGCTTCTAATAAGTACCGCTCATGTAATATATAAATAATATATATAATATATTGCACATACATATAAATATATATATATATTTATATTTATACACTTTTCATATATATATATATATATATATCACTTTTTTCTTTTTCTTCTGATGTTTCAAATCAGCAAAATCTTTGTGTAATTATGTCACAATTAAGCCTCCCTTAGTACCAAGGAACATTGTTACATTTCTCGCACTTCTCACATGTGGAACTCCCTTCTGAAATCTTGCTTCACTGCCACCTACAATCTTCAATAAGAAAACAGAACCTTTTGCTTTACAAGAGTTGAACACAAATCCAATATCCTTGGTGTCCATCTTATATAGATATTATTTCTACTGACTTAGCCACGAATATTTAACGGTATAGCCGATTTAAATGCACAAACATGCCCCCCCACTTCCTCCATCTGTTCATTTACGCAATTTTCTTTCTACTTGTGGTTGAATGGTTAGAACGTTCGCTTTCTGACCA